ACCTTGACGAGAGTCAACTTGTTCCAGAAACCTGCACATGCCCTCTGCTCTTATATAGTAGTCGTGTCTTAATGTTGCACAAGTCATTCACTTATTGTCCAAGGCAAATGTTTTATAGCTCATTGATTTTTAGCATGGGGGCAATATCCATGAAAGTCAATTCGACATTTGTCTTCATACTCATTATAGCCACTTCATTGGCTATCCATCTGTCTACTTTATATTTAACCATCGTATCGATTTTGGGGTGTTTTGAACTGGACTCTTTCCACGACCCTAACACCTTTTCCTGAGGTGTCTTCGCTCATCATCATGCGGCGGTCTGATTTAGGGCAACTATCACGGCCCTCACACCTTTTCTAAGGTGTATTCGCCTTTTATAGACAGTTGCATCTTCCTTCAGTTAGGATGTTTCAAAGTAGCTCTAAAAATTCTCTACCACCATGTGGACTATGGAAAAGATCACTGTCACTGATCACATAGAAAAAGAGAGTTGCGATACACTCCTCGCAATCGTCCATCTCGATTTCTATGTTTGTAGCTTCTACACCTTTTTGCTTGACAGCTCTACTTACACCAACTTCCTTTGGTATCTTCGCCTTTTATCATAGGAAGTCGTCTTTTATCATATGCTTTTGCACCCCCTCAATTAGATGTATCTGCAACAGCTCATCTTTTCATCCTTAAATACATTGGAAAGGTCATCGCCTATTGCCTTCATTAAGAGCACAAAAGACTTCATGTTGTACAACCTTCAAACAGTCTCTACTTTGAGCTTCATCTAGGAACTCTACCTGTTGTCTCATTACAGTACCTTGTTGGATCCTCCGAGTACTCCTGCATAATCTTTGTGTGCCCTCGTGTAGTTTCTGTTCTCTAGATTTTCCTTATTCCTTACTTATGTTTGACAGTAGTTCATCCTGTCACAACACCTATCCAAGTCAAAATAGGGTGCCAATTTTTATCCCCTTGTTGTATTTCTCTTTTATTATGAGGCTCTTCATCAATTCTCCCATCAAGAAATTATAGTCACCGAATCTAACTTCTTTGAAGAAATCACCACTCCATCGTATCCTTGTTCATACGAAACCCAATTATTTCTTTGTGTCGTCATCTTACTAGTCTTCAATAGTTTCATAACATACTGTCACATATACAAAATAGTACCATATGGATAATCCTTCCACCAAGCAAATTTGCAAGAAAGATTGGAGGGGTCACATTAGTCCCGCTTAAAACCCAATCTCCTAGCTAGAACTTCTTAGGCCATATACTATCCATCGCACTGTTTTTTCGTATATAAAACCATTTGCTAGTTTTGTCGCGACTTTCCTTTGTAAGTGATCTGGAATATTTTGGTTTCATACCTTATTTCTCAACATCTGGTGAGACTACTAGTTCTTAGATTCGTCAAGATTAGTCTTCATCAAATTTCACTCTCCACCTCAAATTATCCACATGATCAGGTGTCTAGAATGTCCCAATTAAAATTCCCCACTTAGCAGTTCAACACATGTAATTGGGCAAACATATGTGATTTCTTCTTCTTCATCTCCATTGATCACCATAATGACGATCAGATGCCTCCTGATCGGAAAATCTCTTTTTAATAATTCACCAACACCATTTCTGATCTCAATCTCAATGTTCAGACCATACCATTGCATCCGCAACGATCAAATTAGCTAGAAACAAGTCTGAAATCATCCGAATCGCACTTCAGACAGTTAAGATATGATCAAAACAATTTTGACCTAATAAACGGCCTAGATTCAAGCTCAGATCCAGTTGCACGTCAGCTCAGCTACACTGGATCCTGTCCTTCGGCTCGTGACTGATGACGTGGTAGGTGGGTCCCACTATGTTGAGGTGAATGTTGATTAGTCGATAATGTGTCATGCCACCTATGCATATTGGCACAATGATGATGTCATCATCATCCGAATCTGGCACATGGATCAGGTCATTTAATATTTAGGTTGGGTCAGCCCATCCGGGAGAAGAAGATGTGTGTGACCCGTGGCACGCGTAGCCAGCCACTCAGCCGATACGGGCAGCCATATTCGATGTCTGATTTTGACGCAGTTTTCACCAGTGGCTTCGTCTCTTCCTTCTCTACATAGTGATATGGTCAAAACATAATTTTGATAACTTTTATTTTTGAGCAAAATCAAACACCACTTTAAACCATATGCTCTAATACTAATTGTTGGGCAATCGGACCAATGATGTACTGATATTTGCTCATAGAAGGCCAAATACACTGACATAATATTTAACGTGGTTCGGCAAATCGTCTACATTCACGAGAGAGTTGATATTATTAGAGATAGAGAAAGAACACAAAACAAATATATGGAATAGAAGGATTACACCCACTTACACTTAACTCCCAACTCACTATTGCCCTTGGCAGCTCTCTCTCTCTCTTCACTCTTAACATTCTCTCTCATTTTGCTCTCAAATAATACTTTTATTTATAGATATCAATGATAAGATAAAATGCAAAAATCATAACATGATTGTGGTATTAATAGTAGGAACACATGAGTTACATCATTTTTATCAATAATAATGCAACTTGATTATATTCTAATCGTTATAGATTTTTCATAATAATAACCCTACTTTCTCAAATAGGTTTCACAGTATATTTAACATTAATATCAAATCCTAACATAATTTTTCTAGCTCTGTGTGAACACGTGAAATACGAGGCGTTCATGCGTTAATCCTGCCAAGCCAACACACAAAGTCCGATAATTAAATCTTTCTTTTTTTTTCCTCGAAGATTCCAGCCCTTCCCCTAGTAACCATGGATGCTTCATCTGTACGATATGAAGATGGTGCTCACGACATTAAATTAAATTAAATTCTGACGGTGTTATTTTCCAGCGAGAATACGGCTGTCGCATCAATCCAAATGAACGACAGAAATTTGGATGGCATGATTTATTGTCGTGAGCTCCATTTTCATATTTTACAGATGGTGGACTCAAGGAATACAAATACTGTTGCTGGGCACACCTGAAGAACACAAATACTGATACAAGGAGAACACAGAGGAGATATTGAGCGATTCAATCGTTCCCACAATTGGCAAAGCTGTACTGAAAGTCGTATCAACTTTTCCATATTTCTGTCACAAATACAGTGAGAAAAGGCTACACTGGAGACTACAGAACCAAATGAAACATGAATGTGGAAAGGCATGCTTTTTTGCAGAGATGCAGTTCACAACAAATCTTAAACCTAGTTAAGTAACTCCCTAAATACTCAGAACCATTGCTGGAATTCTGTTTTCATGTAATAACTCGATGAAAAACTCCCGTGGATGCAAAATTAAGGCAATTATCCACCCTTCAATTCCCAGAACTACAAGATGAAAGATCCTGTGAAATGCACTCGATCTATGATACGATGAAGCAGGGCTTCTTGCGTGCACAAGAATCAAAATTAACTACAAAGATAAGGAACTACCAGCAGTGCCATAAGCAGCCAAAAGAGATTACTGCACTAAACAAACTGAGACCAGCTTTATATGTTGCCTGAAACATAGAACTCTGCCTGGGTGAAAATACCATGCGAGCCTCGTCTCCTGGTAAGCTCACAACATAAGGATACTGGAAGCAGGAAAATTGAGACCTATAGCCATTCAATTCAGGTCCTCCGGCAAAGCTACTTTGGAAAATCATATCAAACCTGAAACACTCCTATCTCATGCTCCTCTGAATAAGTACTGCCAGAGAGAGACTACATTTAAGTTTGGATATGTGAAGCTACTAAATCAATCCCCGTCAGCAACAAATTGCAAAGAAATCATATAAAATCTTGGTAAATAATGCCAGAAGGTACTACATTGGCCATCATCAATAAAAGGTGATTAATCTCTACACCTAGAGCTATCCAGTTAGATCCACTTGGCAAGGCTATGCTGGAATTCGCATCCAGCCTTGTTCATAATCTTCACTAGACATGCTATTCATGTCAAACTTAATGAAGAACAAACCACAAAACTAGTTTTTTACATGGGGCTACATGTGGATGCCAAGGATGGATATCACAAACCCGGATAAGTGATGCATGTTCACAGATATTGGGAACCATACAGCTCGATCCCATTAAAAAATCTTCCAAATTGTCAGCAGAAGAAATACTGCAAGTGCCCCTCCCTCAGATCCCAGGATGTCCAGATAAAAAATCCCACAGAGGCACTCAACTCAGCCTGTTGCTTATACGCTAAAGCGAGGTATGCTTTTGTGTTGGACAGGCATGTGAGAGAGTAAGAGCAATAAACTTTCAGCACTACTGTGTGCACATTGGACACCATGAACTGAACAAATTAGTTGCATACAAGTACAAGGTTAAAAGCTGACGATAACCACATCCATGCATTCACATAGAACATAATAGCCGATTCAAGGTAACAAGCCACCCAGACAGTCACCTCAAGAACATTCAAATTTTGGGTTACAATTTAGAAACAAAAACAAGAAGGCAACAACAGAAGGTAAATTTTATTCCTAGCTTTAAATTACACTCAAAATCTACCAGCAAAATAGCATTAAACCATATTACTCCAATTCCTTTATCCACTTTATACATATTACCAAATGGAAACTACATTAGAGACCTAGAGCTTTTCAATCATGCACTCAGCAAAGCTATGCTGATTATTTTTTCACTTAAGCTCAGTTTAACTAACCCAATGTATTAACAACTAAGTAGTGTATTCGACTTAAAAATTTATTTCTTTTTGTCAGTGGTAAGGCCTAGTAACAACTGTATTCAACCTATCATCATATCAATATACTAGTTAATAAATCTATTAATATGATATATAAACTGTTTAAGAAAATAATACAAAAATCATATTTTTTCTGGGCTGGGTTTTAAGTAAAGTCTGAGTCCAATATCATTTGTAGTTCAAATCCACTGGAGAATTCTAGGAAAGTAGACGGAGGAAGCGAAACGGCAACAAAATCCCTCAATTTGTAACTTGAAACGCGGAACTGTCCTCTTTATAAGCAGTAGAATATAAAAAGCTAAAAAAGGGGAATTAGAAACATCCTTCTCCTTCAAAAGACCTAAAATACCCTTTCAATCTTAAGCCGTCAAGATTCCAACTTGATTTGGTAAATCAATCTTTCTCTCCATTTTGAGCAGAACCCATGTATTTTTTTCCAATGAAAAACTCAAAAATTTTAATCAATGTTGATCTTTTTTTATCAGGGTTCTGTTTGCTGTATTTAAATTTTGCTTCAAGAAAGCAGTGGAAATTGAGAAATCAACCACTACTATAAGGTGCCTTTCTGTCTCCATTTATGTTTTTGTAAGAAAATTGTAGTTCTTTTGTTTGTGGGTTTTCTAGAATTGAAATTAGTATAGATGAATCAAATATAAGGTCTAGATTTTCCTTCTTCTTCTTTTTTTTTTTAATTAAGTTTTAGTTTTTCTTTTTTATGGTTTTTTTGTTGATTAATTTTTTTTTTTTCAATTATTGATTTCATGCGATGTGCCCTGTATTTAAGTTAAGGGATTTTGTTAATTGGATTGTAATATTATTTTGAGTTTGAAATCTGTTGAGTTTTTTTTTTTTGTTTCTGATAAACCCTTATTTGTTTATGGCTTTGGTTGTGCTTGGTGGCACTTTTGATTTGTGGGATAGTAGCAGATTTTGTTTTGGCAAAGAGGAGTTGAAGATGGAGGATTGGGGTAAGAGATTTTATCGGTTTCTAGTCTTGTTTAGCTCTTCTATCCGTTTGAATTTGATTGGTCTAGTGTGGTTTTGAGCTTTGAAAGATACTGTGATAACTTCTAGTTGCTGGATTCACATTAGTGTGTCGGGGTTAGTTTGGGTTCGTCAGATTGAACTAGATATCAGTGTATGTTTGTGCTTGGAGAATATTCAACTGTGTATAGCGTTTCCAGTTGGGTGATCTTTAGGACTGCTGGTCCAGATTATGGCTGTATTTGCCCCATCTTGAAGTCAGAGCTTAGGTTTTTGTTTTGTAAGCACATGCCATTGCACAATTTGGGTTTTTGTGAGGCCTTCAAGTGACTTATATGCATACTTCTTGAATATAGTTTGTTAATTATAAATTAAGATGACTTGATGTTTGTTAATTATAAACTGAGGGTAATATTTCAGAAATATTTCCCCATGGTACATGAGAAAGAAAGAAAAAGCTGTTAAACTAATAAAGAATTAACTTGTGTAAATGCAAGAATTCACCTGATGTGTATTGGCTTCATATACAAACTTCTTGAATATAGTCCCCGCATATAAGATGACTTGATGTTTGTCCGTTATAGATAGAGGGCAGTTTTTGGAAATATTTTTCTAAGCTACATGAGAAGAAAGACAAAGCTGTTAGACTAACTAAAGGTGATTGTGTAAATTTAAGAATTCACCTGATGTGCTGGGGCTTCACTGAAACTGCATTCGTTTCTGGAATCAAGTGGCACATTGAAACATTTCATGAGGATGTGTAACTTTTAGGTTTCACTTTGTGCACTATGGCTTTTCCCGGACCATGTAATTAGACCAAACGTTGCTTCCTAAGAACCTCATCCATTGCCTGCGGTTTTTTTATTGAAGATGTTGAAAAGAAAATAACAGAGATGGTAGTTTTGGTTCTATATACCTGAAGGTCTTGGAAAGAATTTAATATTTTGTTCTTTCTCCATGTAAATATTTTCTGTCTTAAATTGCTGGATGAAGTTCTGTCTATGTTCATGTTTTTTATTTTGCTGATTTAGTTGGGACATCTTTTTTTCAGAGGATGTGCAAGTTCCACCTCTCCTTTCAAAAGAGCAGCCTAAAAATAAATGGGATGATGAAGATGTTGATGAAGATGATGTGAAAGAATCGTGGGAGGATGAAGATGAACCTGCTCCGGTATGATTGATAATGTAATCTTGATCTCACATTATTTTATACTTTATCTATCACTTTCAAATTTCAACCAAAGTCACCTAAAATGTTGGATGCTATTATAGGTCCAGGAACAACATCCACAGCTAGTTATGGAAAATGGTCTGATAGGGATAGGCTTCTTTCACATTTAATAATGGAATGTTGATCTGGCATGTTTAATTTGCCTTAAATATTCAACTAATTTTGTTTTCTCTTGCTGTGATTGGGGAAAATTGTTATAAGAACTTATGAATGATGTATCAAACTACAATCATATAATAGTTTTTCTTCCAAGTAAAGGTATGTAGGTAGCATTCATTAGAAAAGAAATGCTCGGAATTTATGATTGGGAAGGAGCTTTTATGCAATCTGGAAAACCATGTGCATATCTCTTGGAGCATTCTATTTTGTTCAAGCGGAGTGGGAGCTTGGGAAGGGATGGAAGATAATATTTTCGTAGGCAGGGGTTCATTAAGAAAAGTGTACAGAGATGTGATGCTGACATATGGGATGCAGATGTATATTATACCTTAGCTTATTTTATGCACTTATAAACTTTTTTATTTGAGTCCCACTGTTTCAGAAATATGAAGTGCTGCATTCCATGTTTATATATGGTGGTGCTTGATCTGTAATTGTTGTATTTCTTTATGGAATTGGATCAGGCACCAGTAGTGAAACCTCCTCCTGAAAAGGCTCCTAAGAAATCCGCAGCAAAGTCTACGGAAAAGAAGGGAAAAACTGTTCAGGTGCTAAAGGAAGAGAAACTAGATCCACTAGCTGAGAAACTTCACTGGCAAAGGTACTCGATATGCAGCTTTTTTTTCTGCTAATAATTGGAAGTGCAAACAATTCATAAGAATTCTATACATCACATCTAGCCTATGTGTCCTTGATTTGCTGTTTCATAATTGCTACAAATGGCATGGCTCCTGAAAAGTAATCCAAGTACAATTTGATAATTGTTTTCCACCCGTACCAAATTGGATGCAACTGAAGGGAAAAAAGAAGTTGCTAAACTGGAATAGATGGAAGACGAATAAATGAATTCTAATCTAATCATAGCTTTACTTATAAATGCTAATCTAAACATAAACAAAGCATCTGGATGTGGGAATAAAAGTTAAAAACTCCAGTGTCATGCTACTCCATGAATGATCTACCTAGCTCCTAAGGGAAACCGTGTTAGATCTTCTGCTGCAATTTATAGACTTCAAATTGTAGATGTTTATGATTTTGCAATGGGGAAACAATATAGTAGGCTTTTATGATGATAGAGTATATTTAATTATTCATGTTTCTCTGAGCATTTTTACAACTTTAATGTGAGGAATGTCAGGACTAAGCTATTGCTGCTGTTTCTTTTGTATAAGATTTTCACCTTCCTTGAGTTGCCTCTTTTAATTGTTCTATACTGAAGATTGGCTGCCTATGTCTTTTTGCTGCTTTACAAATATATGAAAAAAATAAAATTTTATCAGTGCTTAACCATTTAGATGATGATTTTTTTTTTTTTTTTGTTATTATTTTAGTATGATTTCTTAACAAAACCTGTTTCAACTAATAGTGTCCTTGAGGTTTTGTTCTGATCATGTTGGGTTTGGTTAAATGTTGTTTGGCAGCATGATTTTAATTATGTTGATTTGTAGTTCTACGTGCTGAAAATTTTCAGGCAATTTTGCAGGAGGCATGTTTTGTTTTGACTTGTTTCAGTTTATAAGTTTTTTGTTTGCCTTTTCCTTTAAGCAATGGTTTCTTAAAGATTTACTCAATTATAGGCTGGTGGAAGAAGCTGATTTCAGATCCACTACAGAACTGTTTGCTAAGAAAGGTGATGAGAAATCGGTTGATAGTTTCATACCAAAATCTGAAAGTGACTTCTTGGAATATGCAGAGCTTATTTCACATAAGCTTCGCTCATTTGAGGTGTGTTGAGTTAGCTTTAGTATGTTGATAATAAAAGGCTGGTGTAGTTTTTGACCTGGCCGAAAAAAAAAACATTCTCTAATGCAGAAAAGTTACCATTATATCGGTTTACTTAAGGCAATAATGAGACTGTCCATGACTGCCTTGAAAGCTGCAGATGCCAAAGAAGTTTCGGCTTCTGTGAGTGCAATTGCAAATGAAAAGATAAAAGCTGAGAAAGAAGCCAACGCTAGCAAAAAGAAGCAAGGTATATTCCACTTATTTTTCATACTAAGCATCTTTAAGATTCTTAGACATTTTGAAACTCATGTTTCTTTTGAGTCGTAGATTTTGAAAAGCTAGTTAAATGGAATCATTGGTTCAGAAAAGGTGAAATTTTCAGTACTCCTGTTGTACATGCACCTTCTGCTACGATTTCATTACTCTTTTTGAGGAAACCCATATGCAACCACCAGATACTGAATTCTCACCAGTTGTACTGAAGATTTTACCATTTAGAATGTTGATGAATATAACACCTTGCTTTTTATTCATTCCTTGCAGCTGGGAAGAAAAAACAGCTTCATGTTGATAAGCCTGATGATGACTTGGTGGTTAATCCCTATGATGCTCTTGATGACTTCGATTTTATGTAATCTGTTTTGGTAATAGGCATTACATTTTTGCACTCATTGTGTTTCATCAGAATCACATTTACACCATGATTGATGATTCAGTGTATGTTGTAAACAATGTATTTAGAAGAAAACTTCGCGTTTTTGCCTTTGTTTTCAGCTGTCTAGTTAAAACCCTTGAAAGACAAGGACTGAATGTCTTTATTATTCATTTGTATGGAGGTAAAAGTTGCAATAAATAAAGACACTGCATGGTTCGCACATTCATAATGGAATCCTTCTTACCATCTTTCCTTAACTCTAGGGATATCCTCACATTCATAATGGTCAGCATCTGATTGATTCATCGGCATTTGGCAAGTCTTGTGACATTCTTTCTATAACCACCATGGGTTCAAGGGACAAATAGCTACGAGATTTCAAGTTAGATAAATCATATTATGCCCTAGTGTATTTTATAGGTCCTTGGGGGCTATAAAATTAAGAAAAGAGAAGGAAAACCTAACCATCTACGTTTCATGCTCTTATCAAAGTGCATTGATCTCGAAGAAATTTAAACCTTTACAAACCAACATGTAGTTTACTTTAGACGAAGATAAAGCCCTGTCACAACTTTAGATGTGATCTGCATTTCATCAAAGTAAAATCTTCTAAACCCATAGCCGGGAAGTAAGCCTTACATTATTCGACACAAAATGCAGAATCATAAGGTAAGCAAGCAAAGCAATAACATCGGTTGCTGCTTCAAACACAAAGGGAAACAAACTGAAGGATATCCATCCTGATGACAGAGATCTTTCTACGGTTCCTTGGACAGACTACTAAAAACAATATTTCATGAGGGGCTGGTTGATGGTCTCTTGGCTTCCGAAGGATGGTGGTTTTGTGCAATCATGGAAGTCACAACATATGGATCCATGTTCGAAGCATGCCTTCTGTCCTCAAAGCACCCCTTTCCTTCTTTCTTTGTGTTGCGGCAAACATGAAAGGCAGCCTGCGATTAGAAACACCCTGTCAATCGCACAACATGTAACGAAATTAATGCAAGACATCTTTCTGTGTGTCGCAGCAAGGAAATTGTTTCACTTTCCTCTTACCCGTTTGAAAGTACTAATATCAGCTGTTTCGTGTCATCCGGTCAGTCCCTGATCTTTCCCTTCTCCATAAGCTGAAATGTGTTCTTTATGCCACAGACCAAGCTTTTCAATTGCTTTCTTGATGACTTCATAGCCTATTTCATTTCTCATTGACTTAGTATTGAAAATGTGAAGAATTTTCAAGTACAGGACAAAAATAATAATCAAGAGGGTGGAATAAAGTAGTGTTGCTTCCCATCGACAATTTCTAATTCCATGCCTGATAATAGATATAAAGACTCGATATAGCAGTATAAATTAATCACAATGTTGGAAATATATTTCCCCTTTAATAAAGAGCTAAAAGGGCACGGTAGAAATTGCCTCAATATATTGCTCAGGATAACTGTGGTCAAGATTATTGCAGGTTCAGAATCTAATGAACACTATCATCTACAATATAAGATTGGGATAAAAGAAATTATATTTTATTTGAAAACCATTTTTTGATAAAGAAATAAAATGTTGAGGGTTCAAAATAAATAAATCAAAATGATAAGGAAATAAAAATTAAAAGAATAAGGATCAAACTTGAATAAAAAAATTAAAGGAAAAAATAATGAGGGAAAAAAAAGGTAAAACACACAAAAAAAAGAATCAAAAGAATGAGAATTAAATTGGATAAAAAACTTAATGAAACAAAATATCTAGGTGTGAATTTAAAAGAAAAACTTTAAAAAATATTGAAAGCAAAACAATTAATAAAAAAAATAAGAATTAAAATGGATAGAATAGAAACTAGAGGACACAATTAATATTTGAAAGGACTGACTTGAATTTCTAAGTTAAGAGGAAAAAAAGAAAAAAAAAAGATCATTGGAAACCAATCGCACCTCTACCATTAACACACATCTCGCCAATACAAAAAGGATAATACACCACTCTAAACATCATTGTAAATAATTGATTTTGATCATTGGACAATCTTGTATATGCTAACACGTGAGTTGCACATATTAACAGTTTTTTTATAGTATTTATTTTTTTTAAATTACCAAACAACTCCTATGCCAACCTAAAAATAAATAAAATAACAAAAATAACAAAAACCCCTTTGGAACCATATTTATATTTTTTTTATTTTGAAGATAATTTTGTCACTTCACTATTCTTAAAATTAAAATAAAAAAAATACTTGAGTGGTAAAGAGGGGATTCATTACCCTAGATAAATTAAAAAATATATTTTATCTGTTTTCAAATAGTATTGACTAAGAAATTCTTAATTAAGATGAAATGAGATTTGAATATATAACATGATTTAACATGACAAATATATTCCATGCTTTAATGTTAAATCAAAACATTATTGATGAAATGATATTAATTACACTGAGAAACTAGTCACTAGAATATTAAGTCAAACTACTAATGATTTTTTTTAATATTTAAAAAATCAAGATACATTAATAGATGATACACCTTGTTTTCAAATATAAATTAATCAATTATTGAATTGATAATAAATTAATTTATTTTTATTTAATTATAATTTATATTTAGATCAACATACTAGAAATTTAATAGATCACACACATTAAAAAAATTTAGATAAAAATTAAATTGGGATGATTTAATTAAACATAATTTGATTAAAATATATTTTAAAAATTAACAATTAAAATATAATTAATATAAAGATTATATTTCAAGATGTTAAAAAATCAAATAAACACTTGATTAAGTTAATTATTTTTTTAAAATAAATTAATATATAAATATTATTAAAGGGACAAAATGAATGTGCAAGGAATATATATTTAATTTTAAATTTAAGAAGTTTCACGTCAGAAGATCGTTTTTATAGAAATAAAATAAAATGGATAAAAGGGTCAAACATGATTTTGAATGATTTTTAAAAGAAGATCGTTTTTAACGAAATAAAATAAAATGGATAAAAGGCAATCGAGCGAATATTTTTCCACGGCGATCTTGAATGACAAAATATTATTAGTTTCAATTAATAACGTCTTCATAAAGGCTAAAAGGATGTTTATGAGATTGATATTTTAGTTGAGAAAACTCAACAGTTGATTTTCTTATACAAGTTTTTGTTTTGAAGTAACCAAAATAACTTAATTGGCTGTTTTATGAGAAGTTTTGAGAATTACGTCTCTCTAATTTCCTTAATTTTATGCTCTTTTTTATATATATGACAAGTATTACAGTAGTGTTAAGGAAAAAAACTACTAAAATATATATTTTATTCTCATTACAAATTTAAGTTGCATACCAACCTTAATCGATTCTAATGTCAGGAATATGAGCTATCTTAGGCCAGTCCTCTCCTAAATCTTTCTCACACCTTTTCTCCAAATTTGGACACTTCCAAATGGATAGAGATTGGAGAGAAGTGAGATGTTGGATACTCCCTGGCAATGAATTCAGCTCTGGACATCCACGAAGCCGCAAATCCTCAAGTGCCGTCAGATGCCGCACTCCCTCTGATAGAGATGTGAATTTATCACAATCCGTAACAGATAAGGTGCGAAGAGAAGATAAGCCACACAGCCCATCCATTGGCAGACAATTTAATCTTCCACAACCAATTATTTGTAAGACCTCCAAGGAATTGAGGTTACGAAGACCTTCCACTGGCAAGCTTTCAAGTTTCCCGCAACGCCAAATACTCAAGCTTTTAAGAGCAGAAAGGTTATCTAATACCCTATTTGACAAAGACTCCAGATTTCGCATCTCCCAAATGTCTAAGCTTTCAAGGAGGGTATGATTTTGCAAAAACCCATCGGGAAGCTCCCTCACATTTGGAATATCGCTAATCCAAAGAGAAGTGAGAGAAGTGAGATTCCTAACTGACATCAGCGACGAAGCATTACCTCTCAGGATGTCTAATCTTTTAAGGGAGGGTATAATTGGTATTTCGTTCAACACAGGGCAATCGACTATCCTCAATTCTCGAAGGCGAGGAAATGTACACGCAGCCCATTGCTCTAATCCCTCCATTGAATCCAAAGTCAGCGTCTCCAAAGATGGGAATGGATTCTGCCCATCTCCATACACATTGCTGTCAATACTCTTCACACCATCCATTCCCCGTAATACAAGACTCTTGAGCAACTGTAGTTTCCCCAATGGTGGAAGTTGTTCACAGTGGTCACATGCTGATAGCTCCATCTCTACCAGATTTGGTAGCGTCTCGTCCAATTTCATCATCCAATTAGGAAATCTTGAACCTCCATATCCACATATCCTCAACTTCTTCAGATTTGAATGAGGGTGAAGCCCTTCAAGGACCTCCTCGTTATTTACCTGAATAACCCTCTTTCTTTCTTGCGGTGGCGCAAATGACCAAGAGACAAAAAGGTAATATCCATTACCATGCCAAGATAAAGTCAGTGATGAAAGAGCTGTCTTCAACTTCAAATGGGCACTTGTGGCATCTTTTAAATTCCTAACATTCACAAGATCTGCGATACTCAATTCACCAGCAAGATTATTCAGCCCTTCCAGCTCACTTATGCGACGACCATTCTCCCCACCCACAATGAACAGGGTAAGTTTTCGCAGGCATATCAATTGCCCCATTCCAGCTGGCATAAATCGAAGTGAAGAACAACCCGTTATGTCAAGATAGACAAGACTTTTCATGTGCTTCATGCCTTTTGGTAATTGGATGAGTTCTCTGCAACGTCTCAGATCTAGTGTCTGGAGGTTTTGGAGTGAGGTTGTACTTTCAGGCAGTGTTTTGATCCAGGAGCCCGACACATCTAGATACCTTAGATGTTTCAAATCACAAATTGACTTCGGCAATTTCTCGGCCCAGATATTTCTTAAACTCAAGGCTCGATGTTTTCGACCAGTAATCTTTCCCCCTCCATACCCATACAGTTCATTCCTCACAAGAAGTGAGCGAAGTGATAGGACCTTGAGAACTTCAGAAGACGAAGCTACTGATTTGTTATAAAAAGCTACATGACGGGCAGTTTTAGGAATTTCCAACTCCCCATCGCCTTTTGTACTCATATAGCATTCTTGTGCTGCAATGGATTGTGCAAGATCATGCATAAGATCATGCATTTTACATGTTATGTTGCCAAATCCATCATCCTCGACCTCTTGCAGAAATGACCTTCCCACTAGTTCATTGAATATCTCAATGCCCATAACGTGCAAATCCATTTCTCTTCTGCAAGAAATAAAACCATTTGCCATCCACAAAGCAACCAGCTCCTCCCTCCTCATCACTTGATCTTTTGGAAATATAGCGCAATACGCAAAGCATTGCTTCAAATGTGGTGATAGATTAGTGTAACTCAACCTCAAAGCAGGTAAAATCTTGCTTGCTTCTTCTCTTAGATCCCAAATCTCACTTTCTTTGACAGCTATCCACTGATCTTCATTATCTTTTAGCCGCATTAGGTTCCCGAGTGCCTTTAGAGCTAAAGGAACACCACCACACTTCTTCACTATTGATTCTCCAATGGCTTCCAGTTGCGCCCGCTCCTCTGTCCTTCTCATCCCAAATGCAAGCCGTTGAAACAAATGCCAAGAATCTTCTTCAGACAATCTCCCCATGGGCTGGACAAAAGTTGCTGCCATTCTACGAGTAACCATCTCATTACGCGTAGTTACTATTACAGCACTACCTTTAGCTCCGGACCTTAATACCTCTTTCAATTTAGTCCACCTATCATCATAATCATCCCACACATCATCTAGTACAAGCAAAAACTTCTTTCCAGTTAACTTTTGTTGAAGGCGTTGTTGCAAGTCATCCAATTTTTGAAGATCACATGAGGCACCATCAATGGAATCTATGATGGCTTTTATTATTCTTCTTACATCGAAATCAGTAGAGACACACACCCAAATCCTCAAACCGAATTGTTGCTTAACCCTTTCTTCATTGTAGGCCATTTGAGCAAGTGTTGTTTTCCCGAGCCCCCCCATTCCCCATATAGCATAAATAGGGAGATCGTCTGCACCAGCGAGCAGGATGTTGATTAGTTCCTCTTTCTCCTTGCCTCTTCCGTAAATTTCTGATTCATTCACGACTGAGCTTGATTCATTCAGGATGTTGCTTGTATGCCGCCCATCGTAGGTATCTACTGCTGCGTCCCCAACTCGTGTTAGCTTGAACTTTTTGTTCTCATTGGCAATGATATCCAGTTTCTCTCTCACATTTTTCAACTTATGCGCCATTTTCAATCGAAAAACAAGTGGATTATGATCAAGAGAAAAGAAGGATCGTAGTCGATTTTTTAGATCATTTTGCAGCCGATGCCTTTGAGCTGCAATTGCAAAGTCATCCAGCACATCATCAACATCATAAGCTGCATCCTTGAGGCGTCTTAACCAAATCTCTAAAGCCTTGTTCTTCCATTGCTTCTCCTCTGCATCCTGGAGCACAGCTTGAACAATTGCGAAGGTACTTTCGAGATTCTCAAGCTCGGTGTCAAGGCCCCAAGCAAGCCCAGCCTCTTTGAGAGCCTGCAAGCTCAAGTTCTCCAGGATTGGACTCACAAGAGCAGAAACAATTGCATCAGCCATGGCCTGTTTTGCTTTGGAAAATCTGGGTCTTGGTAACAACTGAAATCGCAAGATTGGTTATGGAGATGAGAAAGGAAATTTTAACGGAAACACAAGATTGTTAATGGAAAAGAGTAGTGCCGAAGGGCTTTAAATATGATCAGGATATCTTAAAAGAAACACGAGACTGGTTATGGAAAAGAGAATTGCAGCGGACTTTAAAAGGGAGCAGGGAATTTTAATGGAAACACAAGATTGGTTATGGAAAATAGAAATACAGAAGGACCAAACAATTTCTCACTCTTTGGAATAAAGAAAACTAATCTAACTTGGACTTGAAGTGAAGAACATTAAAAAAAAAGAAATAACATAATATGAGTTGAACAGAGATGCCAATAATTTGTTCCTGGCCCATTCTCTTTAAAATGCCAGCTGTACAGCATTTGGAGTTTCACAAGTCAAAAGATTCTTATCTTGTGATCTTTTCCTTTAAACAATGACTTCTCAAAGCAAAAGGCAGCACCCCGGAATTTCACCCTGTAAGAAAACAAAAGCAAGAGAGAATCAAATGAGGATAATTCAGAGCATTTTACCTTTTTATGAAAAGCAAATCGTAAAATAGTTGGAACATAAAGCAAGTTCAAAGCATTGTTTCCCTCTGTTATCATGGATCAAACCAACATTTTCTTCATTTTTGTTTGGGATTTAACTACGATTCAATCACGGTATTGTCTTTAACATGCAGCTACTGTCTCCTTCCACATGAGAGTTTTGATCTTACTCACAGAAAACAAAACAAAAGGAAGCACTGCAACAAGAGCTAGAGTTTGGTAAATACACGTCTTAACTCATCACTTGCATCAGAACCTCCTTTCGGAGGTGACTTTTACCTCCATCCACAGACAAGAATCTTGACCCATTCTCTTTATTACAGGTTTTCCCTATAAATAAAATAAACAATATTTTAAGGTAATATTTAACCATTTAAATTATTAAATTTAAATATTTTTTAATATATTTTATCAAAATATTAAAACCGCTGTCTTTTCCTTGTTGGTCACTAAACGTCATAAATTTTAAAGAATTATATTAGGCTCCACACGGTGCGGACTTGACTAGCCATGCCTGTATTATAGTGTGGTGGTTCAATTTTATCAAAATATTAAAACCGCTGTCTTTTAACTACACTGATTAGGCTCCACACGGTGTAGACTTGACTAGCCATGCCTGTCTGTATTAAAGCATTGAAGTTTCTGAGAAGCAACACGGCTGTGATTCGAAGACAACATCTCCACTTCCATCGATATAGACAAGAATGGATTCACAAAAAAAAGAAAGAAAGAATGGATTCACAAGAAACAAACAAGTCATTTGACTCCCTCTTTCCACGTATGGAAGATGGGAATATATTTTCCCTTTAATAAAGAGCTAAAAGGGCACGGTAGAAATTGCCTCAACATATTGCTCAGGATGACTGTGCTCAAGATTATTGCAGGTTCAGAATCTAATAAACACTCTCTGCTTGAAACACTTCTATCCTTTTCTAACGAGAATTTGAAAAAAAAAAAAACAAAATAAAATGGAATGGATTTAGTTTCCCAATAAATAACATGGTCCTGCTTGAACTTCTAAACATAGATTAAGGATCAGAATCTGACGAGGGAAACTTGAACATGATATAATTCATAATTTAACACATGAATCTAGTAACATAGTTGAGCCTTGAAAAGATTATTAAACAGACGAGTGTTTAAACGAGGAATTTCCGCAACTAGATTATATGAATTTCTACAAAATAGAGGCACACCCTAACACATAAATTTACTTGGAGTCCCTATTTGTTTTATTATAGGCCAGAATTAACTATCATTTTGAGTATAATTTACTTTACTTTTCTTTTCTTTTTTCCAAATGAGCATAGCAGTTTTTAAGTGCATCCATATCATTCCAAGTTAATTCTTAGAAATAATTATAAAAATCTCTTATAGTTTAATCATGTTTTTATTTCACTTTTTATATTTTTAAAAATTACACTTTATATCTTATAATTCATAAATTAATAAAAGTGCATTCATAGCTTGTTATCTAAGGGGAAGGAATCGGATGTTGACAAAGAAAGAATTGGAAAAGTTTCAAGGATAGCTAAAAGCACGGGATGCGAGCAAGAAATTGCAAGTAATTATTGAGAAATGGAAAACGTGAAGGTGTGTGGTGATGGTAAGTATACAATTTCTTGACTAAATAAAATAATTGACTGGGCTCTACACTGTGCAGACTTTGACTAGCTATGCCAATTGAAGTTTCAGAGAAGTAACATGGCTATGATACGAAGACAACATTTATCCACTTGAATTAGCTTGTCGGTTAATAAATGTCTGTGTCCCGCACTGGCCAATCCGCGTGGGTCTCACACGCCAGGCATGAAAGAGAAGAATGCCTCAATCAGATGAATGAACATAAAAGATGGAAGAAAAGAAAAGATGGTGGGGTTGCTTTTGTATACTCCCCAAAGTCAAGAACGTCCTTTTGGTGGGTCTCCAAGAAGAAATTTGGCAACCAAGAGGCGCTGTTTCTGATCAAAACTATGGTGCAATTTTTTATGACTCCTACGTTCTTCGTTTCTTCCTGTGCTTGGTTTCAAAACTGTGGTGCAATTTTTTTTATTTAGGTGGGTGCTCTTACAACTTAGGCGTATCACGATTAGTTTCTATGATTCATTAAATACTTTACAAATTTAATAGACATGTAAGGTACCGCGAGGATGATAAATATACACATGAGGATTCAAACTCAAATACAATACAAAAAGACAAATTTCTTTCACCACTAGATCAAGCTCCTCGGTGCAACTGTGGTGCAATTTTGCCCGTGTGAGATGTAGGAACTTCCCGGAGGAGGGAGGGTTTTTAAGCGAGTTATTAGTAGGGGAATAGGGCTTGGTTTCATTCTTATGGAGGAACTTCCCGGATTCCGGCTACAAGCCTATCTACCTACCTTTAACTTGTCCTTGTGGGTGTGAGTTGAGACTTCTGCTTGCAACATATGGATTGTGCTTTCAAATTTCTCTTTGTTCATTGTTGTACAATCAAAAGAAAAACCCAAAGCGATAATGCAACATCCAAAAGTTCAGCCCACGATCCCTTGAATTGACATGGCCCTATGTACAGAGAAATATACCGAGCTTACGATTAAATTGACCCCAGAAATGAAAAGCTTGGGCGAAGGTACAACCCTGGAAAACTCATGAGAACTTACTACAATCTCATAGATGAATTAAGATTCATACAATTAAGTAGTTTAGAGGTGATTTTACTGGCAGGATGTCCAACCCCCCAAAGTAAAATGAACACTACAAAAGAGCTACCGAACGTATATAACTTCCATACAAAACCCAGCATTAAAAAAGACAATAAGGATACAACAGATTATAGTGCTGAGACAGCACGATATTTGCAAGGAAAATTTGTAAAATGCTCATTCAGCATAATGGACAGTCATACGAATCTTCCCCTGATGTCACCTCAGAATCTTCTTCCTCTTCATCATATTCAGCAATTCCTAATGGTTGCATTGACAGTCATCTTGGTCAGGGCAGCAGTCCTGCTTGCCATCTGTGATCAGCTACCTATAGTGGGAGGAGCAGGCTGAACAGCAGTGGTTGGTGAGTCTTCTTAATCAGAAGAGTTCGTGCCTAGCCATCTTCTAGAACGAGATGGTCTAGTTGATTGCGGCGGGGCTGGTGTTTGTAGCATTGCAGCGGGGCTATCAACATCAAAGTTGACATTGATTTCCAAAGTCCCTGCAATAGATGATAGAAGTTAGCTAGGGAAAAGAAGAGGAAGAAGACTGAAAAATCAATGCTACTTCTAAAACTAAATTGGTGATTATGCCCCATCAAGTATTAGCCACTAAATCAATCTACATCCTGAAAACTTTCTAGTGTCTAATGAAATAATTTTTCAATTTGCCTAGAATCCTCAATATCTGATTTGTTATTGATACCAGAAATATTGTAACGAGCACAGACAGATCATTGTAATTTTGTAAATAAATACAGTCTTTATTTCAGCTTCTCAGCATTTCTTTGATTTACATTTTTTTTTTTTGTGATTTGTGATTAACATGTCTAGCGAACTGCCATTAAAGACGCACATCTTTCAGGAATTTCCTAGGAAAAAAAGAAATTTACCTAAAATAAATCTTGATTGATCATCCAATAGCTCCTCTTCTGGTTGCTTGTCCACTGACTTGAATCGTTCAGCCATCTGTTTCAACTCCTTTACTAAGGTCTTTCTCTAGTGATACAGTTTCGGCCGCCTGATTCAAGAGTTTTCTCATTAATTTTGTCACACCTTACTCTGACACCCGAAAATGGAGTATGACAAGTATTCTGCAAAGTGCTGAGACATATGACCTCTCAGCTGGTGTCTTCTTCATTGTGAAGCTTGCAGCCTGCAAGAAGAACAAAGTAAAGTACCAAATAAGAAGTTTGTTGTACAAGAAAAGGTTTGAAAAGAAATATTCAATAAAAAAAGAATGTCAACAGTAGTGAGCAGATCACCTAAGCAAACCACTGAACCTGGAATCAAGAAACACGTAACCAAGAATGCTAATATAATAAGCAAAATATAAAACACTCATTTTCTATTTTCATTTCCAGGCAGGACAAATTTTTTATTTAAGAAGGTACCAAGAAGATACGATTTGTTGTGCCATGAGCTAGTATTTCCTCGTATGGAGAAGGTGAGCATTTTTAAGAAAATGGTTATGAGGTTATAGTACTCTGATTGGAGCTGCAGACGGGCTTTTCCAGGAAGCATAATACTACCTTGGTGTACGGCTCAAGGGGGAGTCCTATCTTTGTTTAGTTCTCCTTTCATTTGAAAAATGCTTTTGCTTTATGCTTCCTAAGGGTTCTTGAGTTCTCTATGGTCATCAGCGGAGCTAAGTTTCTCCTTGTTCTGGTATCTAAATAGAGCAGTTTTCCTTTTTTCATAACGAAGTATAAGATGTCTGACAAGAAACAGGTACCCAAGAAACCATGTAAATCCAAGTCCCTCATCTGAACATTCAAATGAAGGCTGCAAAGAGCCATCTACAGTTTCAGTTGACTGGTGCTACCATTTTCACCCTCATTTTCAGTCTGCTTAGCATACAGGGGGGCTGCATAATCTGCAACATGTATAAATCTTCAAGCTTGAACTGCACGCTTACGCATATTAGACGCCACAGCTGCAGAGATCCTCCAGCATTACCAGATGCCTGGTCACATAGAATGCATTACTAGAATGAATGCCTTTAACAAATTCTTTTGAAACATCATTGCAGCACTTATAAAGCCACTCATCTCTCACCAACTTTTAAAATTCTTTTAAAACAACAGTCGAACGTTCTGCAAGTCTTCTCTGAAGATTTACTGTCCTGAGTTTTATTCTGCAAAACCAACAAAAAGAGAAGCTCAATGAGAAATATTAAATGCATGGTCAACCCTAGCAATAACCAGACATTAAAGCACATAATTGTCCATCATAAATGAAACTGAACATATACAATTCACGAAGAAGGTAATTTGAAGATGTATCTTCCTTTATGATAATGATTAAAAAAACGTCGCCAAGGAGGTCAACAAGAAAGGCAAAAATATAGAAAATTCCTTGAATGACAGCATCAATTACCTGAGATTTTGAAGAGGAAATTTTGCAACCAAGAGGCAACGTACCCTTCGCTTTCATAACCATAGATCGCAAAAGATCTAATCAAAATTGGCAGTCATCTTGGTCAGGGCTGCAGTCTTGCCAGCCCTCTGTGAGCAGCTGCCTATAGTGCGAGGAGTAGTCTGCACAACAGTGCTTGGCGAGTCTTCTTCATCAGGAGAGTCTTTGTGCCTAGCCCATATAGTTGATTGCGGCGGGGCAGGTATTTGCCGGATGGCAGCAGGGCTATCAACATGAAGTTGATATTGACTACCAATGTCCCTGCAAAAGAGGACAGAAGTTAGCTAGAGAAAAGACGAGGAAGATGACTGAAAAATCAACACTACTTCCAAAACTAAATCGGTGATTATGCCCTATCAGTTATTAGCCACCAAATCAACTATTACATCCTGAAACTTTCTAGGATCTATTGGAATAATAATTCAATTCGCCTAGAATCCTCAATATCTTATTTGTTATTGATACCAGAAATATCGTATCGAGCACGGACGGATCATTGTAATTTAGTATATAAATACAATCTTGTATTAAAGACGCATATCTATCATTTTTTTAGAATAAAATAACAGTGAACTAAGATGGAACGGGTGACACGTTGTGGTAACGAAATGGGTTTCAATAGAGTAATGGTCTTTATAGTGGCAATTATCTGTCAACTGAATGGGGCTTCCATGCCTATACATATCTCAAGTAAATGAATGCAGACTGTTCTATTGGAAGGCTCAAACACAGTTGAGAGACAGGCAGATAGTGAGAGATTATTTAAAATCCTTGAAGAACTTATTAAACAAGACTAGTGTTTAGCCATCAAACATTCAGCAATGGATATGATTTGCTCAAGTTGGAAACAATCAATAAACGTGTTGAATGGAGACTTTCTGCAAATACATAAACTACATTACCAATTACTTCCATCAACAACCACAATTTACAAACCAGAAACACAAAAAATAAGAAGTTAATCTCGGAAAATTGTATAAAACCCACCTCAAATCCAATTTCTTGAATAAGTCAAATGAGTTTCTAATACATGAAAGAGAAATCACATCGAACCTTTTTTACATTTCAGCCTGAAAACTACACTATTACAGTGGCCTAAACCCTAATTCCATCCATGCATATGAATGTGCATGAGAGATTGAGGATTCCATGGAAACGAGTTTTAGTTAGTATAAAATCAAGGTTTCCATGCATGTGAACAGCGAGTGACCTTGGACAGATTTGGTGTGGAGAACTGGACGGCGGGAACTGAGACTGTAGGGGCCGTAGTTGGTTATAGCTGGGCCGGGCTGTGCAATTTTAAAAAGTAGAAAACGGAGCCACCATCAAAGCCTGTGGTCCTGCTCCATGGAAGGCCTACTTCTATGGTAGAATTGACTAGGAATTTTATTTTATTTTATTATAGCCAGAATATATTTTATTTTAAGATTAAAGGGATTCGGAACTTGAATTTCCTTAGCTTTAATTAGTTCACCACCTATCAATTGATGAACAGAACCTTTTAAAAAAATTTAAATTTATTTTAAAAGCTTCAATTTAATATTTTTTTAGTATTTTTTTATTAATTTTATCTATTAATATAAAAAATATTATTTTAATATATTTTCAAATAAAAATACTTTAAAAAGTACTATACACCATAATTTTAACCACACCCGAAACCTGAAACTAAATATCTTTTTCAATTAGATCATTCAGCATTCTTTAATTGATTTGCTATCCAAAATATACTCTCTTTTTTTACAAAAATCTTGCCCAAAACAACAATATTTTATTAAATAAAAATTATATTAAGGATGAAGTTTTTTCCTATTATTTTTTATCCAATAGAAGTTCCATTAAGTTTTACATTATAATATTTTCTTAAAAAATAAAAACAAAATAAAATAAAGCTTTTCTAAAAAGAAATTCAAAATGAAACTTGCAAGACATGAAACTTGCGTCTAGAACCTTTAGAACATGGATGGGTAGTGTGTGGCCCACTAGAATCATTTCCTATTGCGAGCTTTCGATCGTGTGGCTGAAAAGTTTTAAAAAATAATATAAATAATATTTTAAAATATTATTTAATGGTATAAATTTTTTTGTTTAGATAATTATTTATTATTGAGTTAAAGGTTTAATGTTAAAGATCAAATTTTATTATTTTTATTTTTTTATAACTAAAATTAATTAATCATAAAAAATATATTTTAAAAAATAATATAAATTACATTGTATAATTTCATATAACAATTTAAATTTTTAAATAACAATATTTTTTTTTATAGAAACACGGAGTTTTCATTGTGGGAAAGATCAAAATATATTTCCATGGAAATACGATAAATTTCCTTTTGCAAGACATTGCAAAAGATGATGAAATGGATTTAGTTTCAAACTATCAATAAAATGGGTACTTTTATGAAAATATACCACCTCACCTGTACTTCCATTAGCAACATTACCATTAATGAACTTTTAAACATTGTTTAAGGAACATAATCTGACCAGGGAAACTTGAACGTAATATAATTTATAATTTCATAGATGTTGAACAAAGAAAAATAGAAGAACAGAACCAGAAGTTAATGCAAGAAGACTAACATCCTATTTATTTTAGTATTTTAAAAATAATTTTTTTACTTCAATTTTTTTTAATATTTTTAAATTGTTTTTATATACCAATATCAATAATATTTTTTTAAAAATAAAAAATATAAATGAATCAAATATAAGATCTGAATTTTTTTATGTATTAAGTTTTAATTATTGTTTTTTTGTTGATTGATTTTATGTTTTTTTTCAATTTTGTTTATATATTAATATGAGTGTCCGAGCCAGTTTATATGCATCACGACTAATCCTATAGATCCTGAAGTTAACGACCATGTAAATCTCCAGTGGCTATTATATAAGTAACCAAGAACTTGAATCTGATATTACAAAAAGAATAAATCCCTTAGTTCCAAGTTCTTATCATTTGAACATCATTTAAATAATTATTATTTTTTAATTATTGATTTAATGTGATGTGCCCTTTATTTAAGTTAAGGGATTTTGGTAATTGGATTCTAATATTATTTTGAATTTGAAATCTGTTGATTTTTTTTTTTGGTTTGCTGATAAACCCTTATTTTTCCACCGCGATCATGAATGGCAAAATATTATTAGTTTCATTTAATTACGTCTTCATAAAGGCTAAAAGGATGTTTATGAGATTGATATTTTAGTTGAGAAACCTCAACAGTTGATTTTCTTATACAAGTTTTTGTTTTGGAGTAACCAAAAAAAACTTATTACAGTACTAGTAAAACAAGTCTCAATTAAAACAAATAATGAACCAATCATTTTTACACATTTATATGAATTTGAGAAAATTATTTAAACAATTACAACAAATTAAAACTACGAAAATATATATATTTTATTCTCATTACAAATTTAATTTGCATACCAACCTTAATCGATTATAATCTTAGGAATGTGAGCTATCTTAGGCCAGTCCTCTCCTAAATCTTTCTCACACCTTTTCTTCAAATTTGGACAGCGCAAGATGGTTAGAGATTGGAGAGAAGTGAGATGTTGGATACTCTCTGGCAATGACTTCAGCTCAAATCTGGCATCTCCCATATGTCTAAGCTTTCAAGGAATTGGGTATGATTTTGCAAAAACCCATCGGGAAGCTCCCTCACATTTGGAATACGGCTAATCCAAAGAGAAGTGATAGAAGTGAGATTCCTAACTGACATCAGCGACGATCCCCGGGTGTCTAATTTTTTGACGGAGGGTATAATTGGTATTTCGTTCTAACACAGGGCAATCGGCTATCTTCAATTCTTGAAGGCGAGGAAAACGACACGCAGCCCATTGCTCTAATCCCTCCATTGAAT